ACCCTGCAGCCTCCCCCCACACACCCTCCATATGCACCCCCACACACCCATGTACACACCTCCCACACATATACCCCCAGCCCTTCCCACACACACCATACCCTTCATACATCCCCACCCCAAACAATATAAAAGTAATACTTTATTCCAAATTATTCTGCTATTGCCTCTATAAAAATATATATAAATCAGGACACAATACATAAATCAGGACAAAAAATAGTTTTTGAAATAAAATTAAAATATAGTAGATGTTTCATTTTTAGTATATTATTTGCTTTTTATCTAGTATTTGTTAAAATGGTATCTTCTGAAAGCTTTTGTGTGTGTGCTTCCTGATAGCTCACCAATCTTGTTAAGTGGCCTTCCAGCTGAAATAATTGCCTACCCCTGATCTAAATAGTATCAGTTATTAGAACAGTTAAAGCATACGTAAAGAAGCAGCTCTTCATAACAATCAGGAATCTTCTTAAACTGGAGCAGTTATGAGAATTGAGGGTTGTTGTTTTCTGTTCAAAGCACATGGCTGCCATCTGACTTGGTCCCCTAAATTTTGACTGAGAAAGCTTCCAGAAGTCAGTGGAAGCTTTTTCTGAATATAAAGGGGCCTTCCCCATACCATATCAAAGCTTCATCAAGTAGAGACTGGCCCAAGTTGCATTCCTAGTTCAAAACCAGCTACCCCTGTGTGTGTACTTATGGAACTGCTTTCAGGTTTAATGTTTCTAGGACAAAGTGATACTTCCTTATCAAAAGTACCACTTTTCTCATTTTGAATCAGTGTAAACTAGAAATCAAATGAGAGATGTCTCTCGTGGATGCAGAGGAACTAGAAGGACAAGCCCATACAGACTTTAAAACTAAAAAAAAAACCCCAACCCCTTTTTTTTTATGATTCTCTGTCCTCTCTTTATTACCATTATTTGGAAGGAAGAGGAAAGTAAATAAAAGACAATTAACAACAACTTTAGGTCAGCAGTAGTTGTTTATAATATGTAACGC